ACAAAAGATGAAAGGGTTGTAAAGAGTTATTAAAGTTGGTAAGAAATGTTTCGGTCCATTAAGTCGCATACATTTCTTACCATTACCACAATGCCTTGTATGATGAGGTAGGAAATGCAAAGATTAACGAATAAGAGAGTGAATTAGTGAGGAGATGAAGGGAGGAAGGATAAAAGCAAATGCATCAGAAACAAAGTTCCCTGATACTCTGATCTGGTCCCGTTGCATCGTAATACGCCACATGGCGATCTTTTAGTAGCGCAGTGATTGAAACAGCGATTCTGACATTCATTTCTCTCTTATTCCTTCGTTTCTGAGCAAAACACTGATTTTCAGTGCCTATTCTATTGTCCTTTAGTGCACCTACTTACATTTCTTCACAAGTTCCTCAAAAACGACCATCATAATAAAAAAGAGGATCAAAAATTATTGGTGGCGTCGGACTAACGTATGCCGAAAGAAATGCTTGGAGTTCAACATAAAGATAAAGTTCCTTTTGTTATCAAACTTCACAATATACAGAATCTCGATCAAAATGCCCTGGTAAAAATGCCAGGGAACTGAGCCTAAGATCTTATATCGATATTTTTCTACAGCATCCGGATCAAAAAATGCCCTGGTAAAAATACTAGAAAACTGAGCCCAAGCTATCACATCGCTTTTTTCTCACCAAATTACAAAAATGTGTGGATAATCTGTGCAAGGTATTACAAGGGATACTGATTGGGGAATTCTTGAATATTTTAAAATTAAGTTCACGATGAATTTCCAAAAAAAAAAAAAAAGTTAGAAAACGGAAAAAAACCATTAGAATAGAAAGGTAACTTGCCAGAAATGAGCATTTAGGCGTGCAACATTGGCGCCCTCATATTCGCTGGCCAACGTTGAGTTTAGCATGATGCCAAGCTCTGTTAGGGCCTCCTCTTTTTCGATGTCACTGACATTCTCATACGCATCATCCACCGGAACGATCTGAACGTTGCGATCATATATATCGGACATGGTCTCAATCGATTCGGCCGCATCCATAAATTCATCTTCATCATCCACACCTGCACAAAAATGGCACTTTTAAAAAGGATTCTACAGCAGCAGCTGCAGCAGTAACGAACGCAAAATATCATAACTAACGATGCTAGCCTCCCTCTCTGTTCCTCCCAACGGTTCTGAATACTTTCGGATCGTGTGTTTGACTCACATAATTTAATAATCAATAACGGCGCTCACCAAAACTCAAGTGTGATCTACCGTGTATTTTTGCGCGATTTCTTGTCAACATTAAGAAAGTTAATGAAGTTGACAGCTACGTCTATCTTGGACAGGAAGTAAATATGCGCCACAATCTCTAGTCGAACGTAGCCCCAGGCATGCGCCAAAATCGAATCGACGAATCGCAAAAAGTCTGCTGTTCTTTCGGTGAAATTGAATCTCCAACTTTCTGGATCAGCGCAAGGCCAATTGCTTTTTTGATTTTTAACTTGATTCGAATAAATGGAAAATAACTATTTGTCGTTGCAAAACCGCATGTTATCTTGTGATTAAAAAAAAAAAAAAGCATCAAATCAAAAACGGAACAGAACGGACAGGTTATTAGCTATTCAGGCAATGAGGAAACAAGAACTGATCAGATGTACGAGGCAAAAACTGGTCAAATTCTTGATAATTCGACTCTAAAAACCGAAAAGTCGTTTCTCCAGGAAATTATGGGATTTATGAAGCCCGTAAGCAAAACAAGGACCGATCCATCGACCTGAGACCCATTCTTATCTACAGTTGGCGACTTTGTGCAAATACCCTAACTCAAAGTTAGTATTACCAGCCGTTTTGAGCAACAAATCTTAATTACCAGTGTTCGTCGACTGGCGCCATTCGTCTCCATCAGCCTCATTCAGGGTTTCATCATTATCGTCCGGCAATCGTCGCCAAGACTTTTCAGCACCGGTAGCCGGTTTGATTCGAGGAGATTCTCTTTGCGTGCCTATATGCTTGCATTTGTGAATAAAGACAGTATTTTCGATGCATTTTTTGAAAAAGAATTTGTGTTTAAAAAAGTTTCTTTTTTTTGGTTCTTATATGTTATGTAGTAGAAAATATTTTAAAGTTGGAAGAAAACAAAGCAAATAATATTAAGAAATTAGTAAAAGTCGTAAAGTCTTGTAAAATATAATGATAAGAAATGTTTCGGTCCGTTAAGTCGTATACATTTAAACAGTATGTCAGAGTGAATATGAACTAAGCCGAAAAGGGCAAAAGGTAACCGCGACACAATTTCACAACCATTACGATAAAAAAAACTAGCAAAGAAATTTCTGTCGTTCTTCACTACATTTCAACGTCCTCAGGTGCAATTTGCTATTTTTCAAAAATGTCGAGCCAAAAAATATTTCAGTATTTTTCCATCACCTAGGCAAAAAATGGTATTGGTTACAGAGATCGGAAAAAATTCAAAAAAAAAAAAGAAAATTTCCACCTAGTCTGACTTAAAAAAGAGTACAGCATTCTCGATCAGGACAGAGAGCAACAGATTATCGAAGTGAACTAAAGCAATGCTTTTTTCGTAAAATCAGAGCAGTCTACTCATCCTAGTTCGCGGCTTGACATTTTACCAGTTATTGTAAAATCGTAATTTTGGTGTCTCCGTATACACATGATGTATGCGTACGTTCAAACTGAGTTTGAAATCTTTAGCTCGCACAAGGGTATGGAATGTTGGGAAGTTTCATCGTCCTACCTTCTCCGTTCTCGAAATCCCTTCCTCGCCAGAAAACCTACACAGATTTTCTAAGGAGTCCATACTTATTTTTGTACACTAATTATGGCGTTGGAAATGAAACATCACACATGGAGGGGGAAAAAGCTTCAAAAATCCCAGCTCCCTAGCTTCACCGGTTCCCAACGAAAAGTGGGTGACAGAAGTGCGAACATACACACACACACACACACACACACACATGTGCACACCTACACATACGCTGGCAACGACTTATACTGTGGGTTTTTGCATAATATAAATGTGCAAGAACGCATAATAAAGATATGTAAACACGCATATTCTCGGTAGTAATATAAAGATATACTGCTATCCGGAATATGCACGTTGTTTTCTGCCTTTTTATATATTTAAAGATTTCGACCCCTCCCTGTATACATACATACATACATACATACATACATACATACATACATACACACATACATACATACATACATATATACATACATACATACAAAGACACATGTATACATGCACACATACATGCACACATACATACAAACATACATACACACATACATACATGCATACAT